TTTTACCTGCTTCCAAGGCAAACTTACTTTTCTTCTGTTAATGAGAGCTGATGTAAATGCGACCACCATGTCTCTGCGCGGCAGTTGAGGTAAGCTCCTGATTGGGTGCTGCATACAGGCTACCCTTGCCAACTGACGTACATCAAATCCAATGTCTATAGTCAAAGCCAGTAATGGAAGCACTTTTGCAACGAAAAGAAACACTTTATTACAATCCTGTAGTCAGAATTTATACACTCACAAGTTTTTACGAAGATTGTATCACGTCTTATGGGCAAACTGGAGTTCGTCGGTTACCCCAGATTTAGTTCGTCGGCTGCCCCATGTCGTGCTAGCGTTCTTTCATTTCCCACCAAAATTAGTTCGTCGGTTGTCAAACGACGCGAGGGATGCCGTTAAACTAGGTCTGTAGTGAAACTGTTGTACTTGACAAGGGTCAGCCGGAAATGCGACGCGTTTCGTGTTTTAGGTTTTCTAGTTGCATGGGTGCGGTCAAAGAAACGCAGTGCGTTTCCATCCGGGAAATATAGGGCGAAAATGCTAGACGATGGTTGGTCAAAGACAGGAAACGCAGTGCGTTTCTGCAAGTAATTCTTGAGTAGGGGGATCTTAGTCTAATGTAGCCGAAAAATGTGCTATGGCTTTGAAGCCCAAGTCGAATTTGTCTACTGCAATATAACCTACGCTGGGACTATAGATTCTAGATACCAGTCATGATTTGGATGGTGATTAGAAAATGAAAAATCGTCAAATCCATGCACGCTGCATTCTGCAGACCTGCTGCTTCCGTAAGAGAAATCATACCTTGGTTTAAACAACTCCACCCCTCCTCCATAAATTGCTATTTCCACCTGTTTCTCAGATTGATCTCCTTCAAACAACGGCGGGCAGTGAAGATAATGCGGGGCCTCTGTTTCTAGAATGCAACTCATGTCCAATGTGAAATTTGCAAATTGCATCTGCCAAGGACTCATCCCTGGGGTATAGGAATGGAGAGATTTTCTGATTGCCTTGAAAAGTAAGATCCTAGTCTGCTCGATGTCCTTCCTAGGCATATGGCCTTGTAGAGATGGAGGGAGTTCGTTATGTGGCTTATCCTTTTCCCTAAGGAGGATCAGGTAGACATCAGACCTTTGCTTTCCAGGGAACATTAGCACAGGAGTCAGGTATCGTGATTTAAGAAGCTTTGTCCAATTATAGTGTTTAAAAATAGCATTCCAGTAATCGGTTGGTTGACTTGGGCGTTTAGTTGAGGACATTGTCAAAAGTGCAAACTTCCTACAAAGCTCATCCCATGTACGCTCAGACAGGGTAATAGGCATGAAGGAAGTGAAAGATACAAGTCGCTGTTTGGAATTTTGCGGGTTGTATGCACTTATATATGTATTAATTGCGTTTCGCTGGAGTTAAATACAGAACGTTTAAGACGTTGACGAAAAGCCAGAAACGAATAAACGTCGTCTCATTTACCGTCAAAAGTGGACTTGTATAATACAGTAAATAATAAAATTCGTGACCTAAGTAAATTTACATATCACACCTGGTAGACCAATGACAAAAGGACTGTGGAACTAAGATCGAAATTGTTTGTCTATTTTTTACTCTTTCATTTGTACTGTGATACGCAGACATTCTAGCCAGACGTGCTCGTGCTCCTCCTTGAATTTTGAAATATGGACTGGCATTGGACTACTGTAGTATGTCGACGAAATATAACAAGTCTGGTTCGTGCACGTTCTCGGGTTATCTCTACGTATTTCGTTAAGATATCATAAACTGCATCACATGGCCTGCAAGGGCTGGGATGGTCTAGTCAAAAACGGGCCATCAGCCATTAGGCCGTGGCTGGAAGAGATAGATTAAATCGGAGGTTTTAAATGCCCAGGGTTACTGAAATTACATGGGCTTGCCATGACGGAGCATCCCGATGCAGGTCTGGGTTTCGGCAGAGGAATGTTGATCTAACTAGCACGTGACTACGCGGTTAGCTGGAAAGGAGGATGCAGATGAGCCAGAGGCCAATTCGCTTGTACAGGGATGGCACGGGACATTGGGACAGAAAACGCGACGCGTTGTGAGTTGCAGCTAAACGTCGATAGATAAAAACGCGCCCCGTTTTGAGCCTCCGATTGGGGTTAGAAATCTAAAGGCTCTGATTGGTCTAAAAGCCGAAACGCGGCGCATTTTGAGCAAGAATACTTGAGTAGGGTAACTATATTACTCCTGCAACCACTACTCCTTCTGAACAAACAACTTCAACTACTTACCCTAGATCAGGAGCCATGTGGCTTACTAACCACCTAACAGGATATTCCTTACTGCCATTAGATACAGAATAATCATAATTAACAAATTCTATCCTTCACTAGCCATACACTCTTATCTTATATAGCCCCCTTCATCCGCGTTAGCAGTTGCCCATGATCCTCGGAAAAGCCCATTAACTTACTAATGTTGACTATAGGTGCAACTCTGACAGACCCAATGCCCACAATCTCCCATGCGCCCTCCAGGGGGTCCTAGACACCCATCCATTCTATTGCCAGGTTCACCGCAATGACAGCATGTCCAGCCATATGCCTTTAAGTCTGCTAGGTAACATTCCTGTCTTCCGCAGAGGTTCGGATCCGCCACAGCCGTAACAGACCTTCCGTTTGGGCACATAGACCATCGTTGACTGCGGTGATTAAATGTGGCTCGTTCACAGTACTCCGTAGGACTGTAGGCCCTGTGAGTGCAACGGTATTGTCGGTAGTAACGATAACACATGATTTCAGACGGATTTCTCTGTAGGTAAACGCGAATAAGAAGAATAAGTGATAAGTAAGTCGATAGCGCTGTTTAAACTAATGAATGACCTTAAAGTGATGCAGATTTCCTTGTCCTTTTATCGTACAAAATGGTACGTATTTTACTATTGCATCCTTGAGCGCGCTCAACGTATGGATAAGAAACCTCCTTAGTTGTGCCATTGATATTGTATATGCCGCTACCGCGCGCGTCGCTGTCCAACTATAATGACCTACTGATTAGTTATCTAACCCCGCTTTTTTTTTGATCTGCTCGCAACGTGCACCAACAACTCTTCGTCAACAAACCCTCATCGACAAACACTCGTCAACAAAGCTCCCTCAACATAGTCAACACCATTATAGTATGCCAGCCTGTGCCACCCCTATATCTAAGATATACGATACGACAAACTTGGTTTAATACACTGCTGGCAAGAATGACTTCCAATACTTCTAACAACGCGCAGTCCCCGCCTCAAACACCACCGGCATGGACTGTAGTCGGATTCACTTTCAGCACTGAGATCACAGATTCAGAGCTGGTGGTCATGTGCAACGGCAAACGCTTTGTCATACATCTGCACGCCGACAACTTCTCTGAGTCGCCCGAGTTGAAAGAATCGTATCTCTTCTACTTGAAAGTTGCCGAAGAGTTTGAGCTAGATGATGTAACTGTCGAGGACTTCTGGGATTGGATTGTCAACCCTCTGCTCCCCATTTTCCGGGAACTGCCCACTCCGGACAAGTCAGCACCACCGACCTTAAACGAATTTTTCAACCCCGAAACTTTCGTTTATACCTTGCGAGCAGTCTCCGGCGAACTGATGCCACAACTAGAAAGAGACAGACAACACGAATCTTTATTCGGTATTTCTCTTACAGATGAATTCTGTACGCCATTGGTGTCCTTTGACCCGTCTGAAGTACAAATTTGTCAAGAGAATGTGGTCGGTCCGCCTTCTCATACGCCGCGCAAAGTCCTTTTGAACGACGGGACAATTGCATTCCTAAAGCTCGTGCGTCGTGGCGACAAGCAGTTCCTCAAAAATGAGCTGGATACATATAGGAAGATCCACAGAGCACAGCTTGACAACAAGCTCAGGATTTCACGCCTCCGTGGCCTAGTGCAGAATAACAATGGCGTTATTTTCGGTCTTTTACTCACCTATGTTGACTGTGGACGTGTAACACTATCATGTGCAGTGCAGCCGGGAACGCAAGTTACGCAAAGGGAGAAATGGGCTGCACAAATTCAGGACATTGTCGGTCAGCTACATGATGCTGGAATCGTTTGGGGAGATGCCAAACCGGATAACATCCTAATTGACGTAAATCAGGATGCTTGGGTTATTGATTTTGGTGGCGGATATACGGAGGGATGGGTGCCCAAGAACCTTGCCGGGACGATGGAAGGTGATCGCATTGCTCTCAAGAAGATAGTAGATTATATTTGCACCTAATGCAGCGATCTCAACCTACTTGGCCTTTGGATGGGAATGTCATATACAACAATATGAGTCGCCATAGATTATTATCATCACTATTATACACCTTAACGTAGCAAGACTTAGCACACGCCTCGCGTAAATTCCATGAATGGTTTTAGTAGTAGGGACTTGGCCATTCTTAGTTGCTGAATACTCCAGAGCTAATTTTGGAAAGTTAAGAACTGGCAGTTCCCGGACATGACTCCATCCCAATAGGGGCCTGTCAAACATCCCAGTGGGGGTGATGTGCTAGGAAACAACCAGGTTCCATTAGCATCGGGGAAGCCCGAAGTTTACTCGAGAATTCTACCTGAGGAAAGTGGAAAAACTGGCCACACATAGGCAACTCTGCCTTATCTACTTTTCACTGTTGGTTGTTAGCCCTTAATCCCTGCTATGAACCCTTAGTAGGCTGACGTTCCCAAACTCTCACTAAGGGCTCAGCCAATAAAAGCGCTCCTTCAAAACCTAGATCCACCACACGTTTGAGCCAACAACCGTTTGCAACCGCCTGCATACCTCTATCAGCCTAGCCTGGATACACTGGTCAGGGTAAACGCAAGTATAGCACCAACAGCTCAAGTCGGAGGTTACTTGCTTAGGCAGTTAAGAGCGGAGGATGAGCAGAAGGACCGATGGCTTTGTTTCAATTCGAAAAGTAAGAGCCAACAGAGCGTTAATGGCCAATTGAATACCTTGTCTCTAGGGCTGGGTTTACCAAAGACCGTCCTACCGGCTTGGCGAGGCATATCTGGTGGCTCACTAACATAGCCTGTTTCTTCTTTTTAGCGACTGGCCTTGGCCAGCGAGGCCGCATGACTGCACTGTCAGGTGGATGGCGTCATGTTAGACCACTCTCTTGTATCCTGCCCCAACGCGTTGAGCGGGCCAACATTGTCACGTAACCGCCCATCTTACACATGGAGAAAGCCTTGGGTCGTGATTCTAGACTGCGTCTGGAGTAGGATCTATGACGCAACGAGGCCAGTCTTTTGCCGCCGGCATCGCTTCGTGAGGGCTGAATGTTTCAAGTAAATGGAGCTTGAGTAAATATAGAGTCTGAGCTAGAAGCAACAAGAGGTTGGCTGCAAGACTAAACGCCTTGATGATCCCTATGCCACGACTGGATGAGGTCAGTACGCTTGGACGAAAGCACATACTTCTGGCTGGACCAACACAGAGAATCCGAAGCAAGACGGTGACATTCTCGCGCGGATACACATGGTCGTCATGGTGCTAAGCGCTTTCAATAAGAAGACAGTCTGTTACTTCTAGCAATATAGATAGCAGATTGAAGTATAGAACGTAAAGGTCATTCAAAGAGTCCCAACAACAGAAGAGATAATACTGATATATCCATTAACTCTGATGTTTATTTACTACTCTTGCACAACCACCAAAGAAAAGCGCCCTTATTCCTTAGTTATTATTAGTCAACTTACTACCCTACACACCTCAACCGTAATACCTTCCTATGTTGTTAATATTTATACAGTCTGTTCTTGTTCCAATGCGTAAGTCTGGCAAGCACATATAGGGTAGAGAATTAACTAACCCTGTAATTTAAGAGCTCCGAATTGTGGAATTACTAGTCATCTATATTTTCCCTGTTGCAGGCCTAGTATTCTACAGTACTAGTTTCACTTATCCAGTACATGTTATTATATATGCTAACTTAACCCAGCACTATCCCTGACAGGATGCGTATCCGATAGCCCTGGGTTACCCAGTAGATTTTTGGTGGCAATCAACAGCTCAAACACGGCAGAACTTCGGATTGGTTATTTCGGTAAGCTTTTACTCTTTATGCCTGACATTCCCATAGGCAGTTCTGCTGGAAAGTCCAAGACTGATGTATGTAGGAGTATGTATGTCTGGAAATAATAGTCACAATTGTGTGGCTACCCCTTACTCGACAACTCCGCAGTCACTCAGTGCCGCCTTAACCTCCAACCTGGGTCGAGGGGGCAAGGGATCTCCGGTCCCTGGTCTGCGTACTCTCGAGACCGCCCTTCAGCTACAATGAAGCATCTTTTTCTGTTTGCAGGCCTTTGCTGGGGTGCTCTTCAACATCAGTATCCTTCTTTTTTTGTTACTCGCGTCTGTATACAGATCAGCAAGAAGAGAGCACACAGTTGGCGCTTAATTGAGCAGGGCTGGCCAAAGACGGCCCTTGTGGCATCGGTCGCCATTTCTGTCATCAGTGCAACATCTACCACGCAGACGGGAAATGCGCTGCAGTTCGCCACGAAGAAACTGGGCATCGTTTCGCTGCATATCAAGGTCGGAAGTACACTACAGGTGCTTGAGAGGCTTGCATTTGCATTCTGAATAACATTTTATGTGGTTATAGTGAAACGAGTTGCTAGAGGGAGAAGTGAAGGGTTGCCTGGAGGCGAGAAACTCACGAGCTTTCCCATGCCGCCGCCGCCGCCCCGATAACAAGGTGTCTCTACTATATAGGTACTAAGATGATATCCGTACTTATACTAGGTTGTATATATACATAGCTAGCTACTCCATTGTTTCATTAAATACCAGACGTATATACCCTATGCTTATCAAAATATTCGCCCGACAGAACTGTTATACCCCACTATTTGATGAATTCTTAGAATTCGTCTCTTTTGTCCTTTCCTAAAGCCCTCATGACTTTTAACCCTGCTGAATGCCTGCACTCTCTGATCTTTCTCTCCTTCTCTTTCCTAGCCAACCGTTCTCTATACCTCAGTCGTTCTTGTTCGGACAGGATCTGCAAACGCTCTAATCTTTCATCTTCTTGTGCTTTCTGTTCCTGATCACGTAAATCGCGAATCGCCACTTCGATATCCACACGAATTCTCTTTATGTAGTCACTGTGCTCTTTGGTCTGCAAGACCTCGGTCAGTTTGGCTGCATTGTCCAGAAATTCCGCCATCTTATACCAGTCGATGGGAATGCGCTTAACTGCCGCATCTTCAATATCGGCCACTGACTCTAGAAGCTCTCTGTTGCGCTCTGTGTGGAGGGCAAATTGTGTAACGGTGAGCTGGTCGATCCAAGTATGAAGTGGTACTGCTTCCGAGCAGCTCCATCCATGCTCATATAGTAATGCTGGCAGACGCTTCTTTGCATAAGTAAAGCATGCCCTTTCAAGGATCCCCTGTAGCTGGACTACCAGGTTATACTGACTACTGAATGGCAGGTAAATCAGGTCTTTCTTCTCTTGTGCATGCCTTGAAGAGGCTGGTGGTCTGGGGATGGGGTTAGATGTAGGTGAGGGCTAAGAAATAGGCCAAAAGGCCGAAAGGGTAGGTTTATATGTTTGTACCCTGGGGTAGAAAACCGCTGGTGTTGAACGTTTGCAAACAGTGAATAGATCCACCTCCTGCCATATGAGTAGGACAAGCCCCAAAGTTTTCAACCCCGGGGTACAAAGTAGAAGGTTGTAGGGAAGACGGGGTATGCATCATGATCATCATGGTAATTTTCAACCCCGGGGTACAAACGGACAGGCACTACCTCAAAGCACTGAGCACTGAGCACTGAGCACTGAGCAGTTGCGTAAATCGAGTTTTTGTACCTACAGGTACAGAATTTAGAGTTATCAAGCTGGGACCAAGGCAAGGCCATTGACTTCCATACTTTTCTGCATCACTCATACCACCACCACATCTCGGAGCATTGTGGGCACGAAACTGTAGCAGGAGGTTTCTTTCCACGGGATACAGCTTTGACTCTACAAAAGATTAGTAAGGATCCTGGAGGTGATGATGATATTATGATGATGATGAGGATGGATGGCGGAAATAGGCCAAAGATGATCGAATCATCATCATCAGTATTTTTGGCCATTTGTGTGTTCACCAAAGTGAATGCGCCCCGAGAAGAAGCAATCGCAGGGGCAAGAGAGAAAGCTGTTCACGATAGTGTTGGGTCGGTCGGGGGAACAGACTTATTTATAAGTAACAAGGGACAACCCCAGTCCACCATGATTTACTTGCGGAAGTCAGCCGATGTCCAGGCTACCCTATACACAATTAGCAATATCGCGTCAGTACTTTGTTTGTGCGGGAAACAGAGGTATGGTGAACCATGAATATAATGTATCAGCTTCCGTACAATATGAAATAAAAGAGAAAAGGCGGTTTTACCCATTTGAGGTGTAGGTAAAAATAAGAGGGTAAAAGAAAATGAAATCGCGTCTGACTCATGGTTGACTTCGCCGGCAAGAAAGCCCAACCACAAAGCTAAGATAACAGCAAGGATGGGACGGTGAACCTCAACGCGTCACGGATTATAAACAACAAGGGTACCTCGACCAGGGTCACGCGTTTATTTCTAACTATTTCAAGTCAAGACTGAGGATTTAGAGTTCTATCGGACAACCAAAAAGCCAATGTAATATAGATGAACCTAGACTGGGCGTACAACCGTGGCTGGCTCACGCGTCCATCTTTCTACGTCCATTTGCATATGTTGCTGAAACGAGGCCCTGCCTTCTTTTACATCCCGTCTGGTGAGATCTGTTGGTTTGTTCCAATAGGATACTAAATTTACAGCTGGGCGCGATCCGATCTCGGGCCATTTCTGGATAGTGAAACGATTGCCAAAGAATTCTATCAACCGTTTGACTGGGATGGATATGTCTGCGATGGTCTGGCGCGTTGCTGCGTGATTACCATCAAGTGGCCCACCTCCACGGAGCACAAGCGTGACTGCTTCTGCGTTATTGAACAAGAAGAGCTCCTCTAAACGCTTCCGGGTCCGTCTTGCTACAATGTCTCCGCTAGGTCGAATGTCTTGGTTGATATCCCTGTTATCCTCACTGTCGCCGATACCATCGTGAGGATAGAATGGGTTATCATCGTCATCGTTTTCCGCATCGTAGCCGTCGTGTAGGTCTGTCTCGACGATAAGGCGTCGGACTAGTGGGGCGATGGGTTATACCGTTTTAAAATCGTATTGATCGCACTGAAACTCGCACAGCTAGTGTAGCTTTACCTGGAATACATTCTCGCTGTAGTATACCTTACGAGCCTCTTTTACTATCTGCCCCCCTCTCTCGTTCTTGCCCATGAATAGCTTCTGAAGCAGCAGAACTCTATCGGCAATCTCTAGATTTATCATATTATCGTTATCTCCTTTCTCGATGATGACCTATTTAGGCTAAGTGAGGTGTTGGTTAAATATAGACTTGCGTTGTATTAAAGATAGCTTTGAGAATTCCTCTACAGTCTGGCCTTAAAGTATCTTGTATACTGCTGCAAAGTTATCTGCGAAGAAAATAGTATTGTTATTATCACCTGGCCTGTCCATCACGAATGATAATATAGACGTTGGCGCAGAATGCTTTAAGTTGCTTAAGTTGAAACTTGGGGTTGAGAATGCTTGAGAGAGGAGGAAGGGGAAGGGAGGGGGGAGGAGGAAAACAGTAGAATCCTCTTCTCACATCGACGCGCAGCTGGCTTACCGACAACGCGCTTGATTCACACAAGGTAGCGGATTTGTGTCTTAGCCCTATTTGGTAAGGACCCCCAAATGACCACACCCTCTTGGTCTGGTCACAGTCCCCACAACAGACGACAATCCCTGCGGGACATTTAACTCAAGCTACGTTCCTCCGCCCCTGATTTCGTGTGTGATTTGGGTGGCTTTTTCCGCGCTTAAAATCCGCACTCATCGTTTGAGACTCCAACGATCACCGGAACCTTGGTCTCTATATATTTCCGGACTGGATTATCTATGGGCCAGAAATTTTACCAGGACCAAGGCAGCTCCATTCATCATCAACCTTCATCATCCATCGTCCTGCGCACAAGGGATAAGCGACTGCAAAATGGCACCATCATCATCAACAACCGTCGGTAAGCCTGGACGGCAAAATAAGAGAGGAAGAGTGGACGACGAGACGGATGAAGATGAAAACAGAAGAGGAAAGAAGATGTGCTTCAAAGACGAAGACTCCGTTCGGGACCAAGCAAGAAAACATCGAATCCTGACGGCTCGCATGCCGACTAATGCTCTTACTTCTACATGGAGCCTAGGGAAGAATAGACGCTTGGATACGAAGCATGTGCGAATCCTCTGCGCTATTTTTACACAGGGCGGACTAAGCCGAAAGGCGGAAGAGAATCATCTCCTGGTCCTCTGCAGTCGAGCTGATGTGTCGAAGATGATGAAGCACCTTCAAAGACAAGGCCGGTCGATCGACCCCGACACCTCCGAAGAGCTACCCTTCTTCGACGAATGGCTCTCTGTCAATCGAGGGAGCAAGGCGGAGGTCATGGCCGGACAACACCGCATCAAAGCTCTCGAGGCGTATGTCCAGGAAACAGGTGCCGACGAAAAAGAGCTGTGGTGGACTTGTGAGTTTTATGACAAGGGTAAGTTTCATGAGTCAGTCACCCAAGCGCGCATACACAAGCCCCGTAGTAGTAGAGAGCCTCTACTTAGGTATTCTGACGCGACCAATCACAAACAGATACTCTGCCGCTGAGCCTGAATCTTAAGCTCCGGGTTAATCGACAGGATCCAGCCATGGCTGACAGTCATGGTCAAGTATGGATGCAAGTCGTTGCAGCATCGAGCCAAGACCCTGACTTGTTCCGTGGGAAAGCAGCCCAGGTTGAGGATCAGATGATCGACGTTCTCCAACTAGGCAGTGAGAAGCAATTTCCCACTCGTCGTCTCGCTACTGTCTGGAGGAATGAAAGATGGAAGGAGATGACCACACGCTGGTGCGAGACCTCTATCGGTAGGGCCACCTTCCAAATCTCAACCTGGGACCGGATGATCAGCTATAGGATTGATGATGTAAGTGAGGTAGACCTGGGAGCATTCGGTGCCATTTGACTGACTGACGAAAACTATGTGCGTAGTACTTGTTTACGATATTCCGCAGCGTATTAAGGACGCTGTCTCAGCTCCCTGGCGATGCTGCCAACGAGGTGGAGCTGGCGGACTGGAAGAAGATGTCGGAGTTCCTCGGCTCGACCCGCACAGCCGATCAAGTCCGTACACTTTTCTACCCACAATCGTCATCGTCGTCCCCGTCGTCGTCGAATTCGGCTCAAGGTGCCAAACGTCGACTTGGATTCCTCGCGGCGATGGATGACGGGGAATACGAGGGGATGTACAAGAGGATTCTAATGACCCCCCAGCTACGATTCACTAACATCAACTGTCTCATATACCTAAGCAAAGACGATGGGAAGGTCCTGTTTCAGGTCATGAGCCATGTCGTGGCTTGGTTAAATAAGAATCCTTCGACGTCCTCTCGACGTGACAATAACAAGCCCCCTTTACGTGCTGATATAGTAGCGAAACTGGAGCACTGTTCGGATCGAGACGTCCGTGACGCAGAAAAGAGACTTGGTATCTTTGTATGGGGGCCAGAACATCAGGACTCAACGTCCAAGACAGCTTCTATCCTCTTACAACAGGAAGTCCTCGATTTCGTGCTGCAAAGCATGGCCGATTTCAAAAGTCCAACTGTCAGGCCATACTTAGAACAAGCACCCAAGCAAGGCGATAGTGCTCAATACACAAAACGCTTCTCGCACAAGACGTGGAACGGAGTGTTGACGATAGTTCGGCGGTGGGTTGGGCATGACTTTTCCTCAGAGTGGATGGAGCGACCCCACGATGGCCACTCCGTCCATAATGAGCAAGCTCGGAGCGCTGATGCAAGAACTTCTCGTTTCACTGACCATCTAGTCCTGACTGAGTCGCTGGGAGACTACATAAGAGAAGACCCCGACCTTGCGGCCGATTCTGCTTCTATCATGGAAAAGCTTGGGAACAAGGCCTTTGAAGCCGTGCTACATCGGTGGCTCACCCAGCAGCAGGGTCAATTTCGTCCTAATCCGGAGGGTAGCCATCATGATTACGAAAGGGCAAACGCCAGCAGCCCGGTGACTGTAACCAGCCCAAGAGCTACTCCCAATCTGTACGAAGAGCAGGGGGTCCGAGCACAGGAAAAAGCAAAGAACCCAGAATACGAACACCATAGTCGCTCTGCTGGTGTCCCTGACTCTGGCCCCGACCGTTCCGAGCTTGACCCCGACCTCAATCCTGACAGCGTCGCATCTCAGCCAAAAACGCCAGTGGAAATCGAAATCGTCCACATACAGGAACTTTCGCCCGCAAAAGCAAAGCCAAGTACAGGCAAAGGGCGTCATGCTGGTACGCTACAGCGGCATTCTTTGCCGGAGAAGAGGCCGCCGGGCCAACACCACAAGACAGGAGGATCAGACAGGGTGACGTCGCGAGCGGGCGCTCCAACGCCTTCGAGACAATTGGGAACAGGGGGTAAGAAGGGAATGCCTGCAGCAAGCGCGTCATCGTCCCCCTCCACTGTTTCTTCGTCAAGACCAGCCAAAGGTCCCGGGCCACGATCTTCATCATCATCATCTCGGATCGTACGAAGTGAACCGTCATGGACACGTGGTGTTGAGGCGAAATAGTGCTGTGGGCTCTTAATCAGGATGCATAGCGATGATGACGGCCTGCTGGCATAGTTGATGTGATGAACCAAGACCATGACGAGATCAGGACTGTCCGCAAAAAAATAGGATCGGCAAGGAGTAGTAATTAAATTAACTTCCACTAAGCTCAAGCTCGTTTTAAAAAGTTTTCAACCCCGGGGTACAAGTGGTCTGACGACTCTTAGTCGGTGTGATTGTGGCTTTTGCGGAGATGAGCACAAACAGGGGTGATGTGATTGGAGCTCGTCCCTTGCAGTAAGTTCGCACATGGCTCGCGGTGATCGCCCGAGGATCCCGCTGTCATGTCTCCAGGTATGTGATGCAAGCGGCATACATTTACGACTCGGCTTGTTGCTATCCAGCCATGCCCTGCTTTCGATTACCAATCGATGGTCTATCCGGTGTAGAAGAACAGTATTCCATTGATCGCCACGCTAGATAATCGTTGACGCGATGGACGAGCACGATATTCTACTAGACGAGATCGCGGAACCAGGGGATTGCGTCCCTGCGGGCACTGCTGAAGAAAGCAACGATGATGGTATTGGAAGCTTTGCCGGCACCGATTTTATCGACGAACTCTATACGAACGATGATGAACTTGATGAGCATGGCGTGAGAATGGCTATTGAGGCTCAGGCCGCGAATAAGGACGACTTCAAGATTGATCATTCCAAGGGGAGCTTTAGGATGAAACGTCAGTATGCAAACTGACTGTTCCAGCTAACTTCTACGTGTTGACATTAGTGGTGTCTGCTCCAGCCGAGAACTTCATAACACGAACGAACGCACCCGATTTTGATGCATCCCAGGCGCTCGAAATGTTTCAACGAAGATACACGATAGACTACGGAAGGAAGGCATCCGGATCCAGGACTGCTAATCCTGAAGATAGATACTTCCCGATCTTTCACCTGGATATGATAGGCATCGTCGGCCGGCCTCTACACCCAATCACGAGACGGAGCGGTTTCTTCGACAACGTCACTTTTACTCTGAGATACTGGCACTCATCGTACGCTGGAAAGCACGTGTCGACCAACCTACCTTTTGATATCCTCAACCGAACCTTTCGAATTGCAACTGCAGCATCTCGTGAAGTCTGGTTCATCGTGATGCACCCAGTACATAACCAGATGAATAACTTGTCCGGGTCGCAGGGCCAGCGTCGACAACGGCAGAAGGCTTCCCGTCGAAGCAGCGCTGTCGAGCGACACCATGCCAAAGCTCTCGCTGAATACATCGTCGAGGTATCTACAGATAGTGAGCTCTTAGGCGAAGGGGTTGAGCCCTCATGGGGCTTGAACGACCGGCGTATATCGAGTCTGTCGTATGACAAGTGGACAACCTTCCAGACACTCTTCATGAGGAATTGGAAGAACTTTTCCGAAAATCACTCATACGACCGTTTCTGGATTGATAATGAGCCTGCTTTCCATACGTACGACTGCGGGGCTAATATTGAGATTGAAGTCAATGAGGAGCTCAAAGACCTACCGATGGAGACACGTTTGCGATCCGAGAGCGAAGACGACGACGATCCGGACTCAGATTCTGATTCTGAGTCTGAGATCGAGCCCGAACCCGGCACTGAACTTGAACCAAGCGATGCAAATGATATACATGATCCTGAGGACGGTAATGACGGCCAGAGGGATAGCACGGGTAGTAGGGACGAAGCGCCGACGGAGGTCAACCCAGGCGGCCCCGAGAATAATCATGATATCTACCAAGAGCACTTATATAGCGATGGACTTGAACATCTCCGTACCGAATTGGAGAAGAAGTACAACATCGACAACATCGACCACATCTCCTACGCGTTGGCAGCAGACGTCAACTGCATCGAGCGTAACCCTTCCACCCGAAGCGCTTTTCAACAGGATGCCGACGACGGGACATTGTCGCTCCTAGCAGACCGGCGCGCCCTCATTCGGCATTTTGGCGGTTCGAAAGGTTTCACTTTTTATCCCCTCGCATTCCATCCCAGATATGGGAACTTTTCTTCACCACGTCCTCCACCTTTCCTGGATAATGTATGCGTTGTGATGCGCGACAACATGAGCTATCGCAACAATGGTGCTGATGATGTCCTGTCCTTCGGCTACTTTCACGCCTACTCCAACATAAAGCGGACGATCCGACACAGTCCAGAAGACCTGCTTCCCGCTCGAGGCATCGCCACCGGTGCTCTGACCCTTCCTCCCAGCGAAGCGATACAAAGAGGGTACATCTCCGCCTGTCAACAGAAGCTGCTGCGAACTCTCGCTGGCGATCAGACACCTGAACAGCCGTCTCTGACGATGCCGTTCGCGCGTGAAGGCCATCGCATAAGAGCAGCCATGTCGCAGGATCAGGTCGCTTTCCGGATGGAGCAGGTGGTGACCATCAGACCAGGCAAGCTTGAGCGTGGCCATCGACACTTCTTCAGTGTTCTCCATCCCATCTTCCAGCTCATGCGATTTTTTCTCAAGGAGAAGCGGGCATACACTACTGTGCTTAGGAGCTTTCTGCCATCCATCTTTCCTACCATTCTCTGTTCCTTTGCTAAGCTGTTCGAGCTCGGCTTGGCGGAGATGCATAGGAGATTCCTAGCACGGGCTGAAAAAGGTCTTGACCTGGCTCTGTCAGAAGCTGTTGCGGTGCTGGATCGTCTAGGCAATTACTGCTTCACCGGTGACACAAGGGTGCTGATGTCCACCGTCTTCCGGCCACTCCTCACCATGGACAGCCTCAAGTTATGTGCCTGGCCGTATGTGTCGGCGGACATGCTTGACTTTCGAGGCTCGAGCGGGAAGCTAGATGTCGTCCGGTGGCCCCGGACAAAAGACGGAGAGCGCAAGCCGATATTGCTGCACATCGCGTCACTGGAGTACCACTACGGTCGGGTTGTCGCAGCCAACTGCCATAGTCGGGTATGGTTCAGCCAGCTCGGGGCGGAGGATATCGGGCACGTCGGAAGCGCCAATATGTTCCTGGGCAAGGTACTCCGTGGGTTTTGGGTGCCACAGATGGTAGCTTTCATGGCACATCAGCTTCGTATCCAGCTCAACCAAGGAGCACGTAGCGGTCGAGACCCGGCAGAGCACCTTCGACGATCGCAGCGTTTCGGTGCAGTTTTGGATGCTTGGGAACAGAGCGATGAGCCATTCAGTAGCGGGTAAGTTGTGGAACTACTCGCGCATCAATCACCAGTTTCCCTTTTGTCTGCCCCAGCCACGAGGGTAACAGACTAAACCCAACCATCATCGTAAAGATAATTGACTGATTGATGTTGATGTCAACACACAGACAATTCGATAATTTGTTCCTAAACATGGCAAACGGTAGCGAGCCTATACCTATAACTGCCCCTCCCAAATCGAACAAGGCACGAAGCGATTTTGCGACCGAGATATTCGATGCGTGCCTGAAGGGCGATGAGACTGCTGTACAAGCTATAGCATCCAAGAACGCCACGTGGCCATCCATGCTAGGGGAAGCGATACGTCACACGAGAGAGCAAAATGTGACAGCCCGCGAATGGATCGACGCAATTACAAACCAGATGGTGGAGGCTGGTATAGACTGGGTTCCTGGATACTACCGGCGACGGCTCACATCACGGCGGGTCATCCAACTCGATAGCGTCCAGCGTTACGAGCGGCCAGTTGCAGTTTTGACCGGGCCACCACATAGCCTTAAACGGGAGGCCAAGGCAGCGGAGCTGCGTCTGATGGCGGCGGATGGGCAACCCTCTATAAAGCGAAGCAGGAAGCGGAGGATCAATGTAGGTTGCGAAGTACCATTCAGGAAAGTGCCTCCAATGATACAGGAAGGGTTCAGTAAGCTAGAAAAGAACTACACCAAGACAGATTCGATGGCAGTCCGACACATCAATCGGGCCTACAGCTGTTTGGTCAAATGCTTGGGTGATCCGTTGTGTGATATGATGCTTTTACTGGCTCTGACATTCGGTGCTTGCACGGTGACGCCGCACATCGACGAGCGAGGAACCGAATTCTATCAGGCTCCGAGAAGAAAAGATCCTGAAATGCTGGCAGCAGCGATGGTTATACGAATGCTCTGGTTCATGAGGAAAGAAGAATTTCCATGGGGGAATACTGAAGAAAAAGTGTTATCCGTTGGGAAGATGACGCAGAAGATTGGTAAGTAGGGCCACTGTGGAGCGGACTGACGCGAGCTGGCTGACCATTTCCCCGTATCTTGCCATGTTGTAGAAAATAGAGGTTTCAATAATCGCGGGTTGCTTAAGCTCGGATGGGTGGAATACAATTCGAATACCGGTACTCGTCGTCGAACGCCGCGGACAACAGAGTTGAAGCTCAAATCGACAGAGGCGCTCTACGATGACCACAAGCGGTTGATTTCTGCCATGAATAATGCAGAAAGATTCATATCCTTGGTGTTTGGAAGTGATGATGAGGTTTGGGTGGCTCGGTGTTCGTCCATAATCCAAGATAGATGACGATGCTTACGATCAGGACGGATGAAGCGGGCATATTGCTTTTTCCCATTGTGGCAATCGACTTTTAGATACACAGGATAAGGATCAAAATTGAGAACGAGACCAATGGAAGGCAGGAAGACGAATACCTACCTTGGCCGTTAGCAGCGGCCTGATCATTGCAAATGTACACATGGTGGGAGGGAGAGCACGAGCTAACGGCTGGTGCTGTGGGGACGACCTGGGCCAGGGATTAGAAAGCCACTTCATCAGCCAGGGGTCTCTTTTCAGCGCAACTACAGCCAGCCCCACTGCGTCAACTGTAATCGGCTGCGCAGCAGCAGCAGCTACTTAAACCTTTCATCCATCCTCATCAACGCCCCGCTCCCGGTCATTGTCCTCGCTCTCGCACAACTCGAGCCGCAACGGCGCCACGATTTCATTTCATATCTGCAGTGGCAAGTCTATCTATCTATCGAAAAACGAGCAGTACAAATCGACACCATGGCCGCACATATACTACTAGACGTGCGCCGTAACGTTTCACCTATCAAAGACGATGAGCGGCCCATTTGCGCACAGTGGCTCCAATCCGTCGATTTCCTTGCGCCAGGAAAAGACCAGGACATCTGGGTTGCAATCGTTCAGAACTGGGAGGAGTTTCTCAAGACTACAAAGACAAAAATCAAAGGTTCTGGAGCATCCCGCCGTTACGTCCAAGGCACGGCTGCTAAAAAGCGGGAAGCGATCAAGGGCGCATTTTGGGAACGAATAGACGGGCTTGATGGGCTATCTGAGCGATGGCCGGTTAAAGCACGAAAGATTATCAACCAGGCCGCGGAGGGGTCCGATGCAGGGCCATTCGAATCGCTCGCGGCTATTTGGGACCTTGAAAAGAGGAGGAGATATCAGTCCATGTGGACAGGCATGATATGTTTCCTCGTGTGGACCACAGAAAACGACATAGATGGTCTAACCAATATGGGATTGCAATTAGACGAAGAGCTGGAAGAAGACATCGTGGATATCGGCCTAGCAGTGGCGCCGGACTCGGATGTTTTCGGGGACGGCGAGGACCCCATGGACGCGATCCAGGGATTCCTTACCAAGCTCATAACCCATGATTCCGCAACAGCGCGGAACAACCCGTTGCTCTGGTGGACGTCCATCTTAGTACGGTCGGCGATTTCGGGCGACGAGGAGGAGGATTTCATCAGTAGGGGGACGATCAGCATGAACATATTGCCGCCGGATGTGGACATTAGAAACCGCATCGAGGCTATATGCCACTACAGCAAAGCCCTCATTCTCGACAAAGCGTTCATGGGATGGCGAACAGGTAGGCCTGAACGCGAAGTCTTGGCCGAGGAGATAGCTCAAGATTTGAACAAAGTGGACAACGAATGGCTCAACAAATATGGCGGGAAACGGCCGGACGACCGCCTGGACAGCAGAACATGTGAATCACGAGCATGGAAGATGGTTCTGAAGCATTTGGAACAGGAAGGGTATCTCTGGCTGGGGCAGAAAGAGAAGACGACGATGGGGGAGATTAGAAGACTTTTGACTTCACTCAGACGAGTGAGTGATTGAGATAACAGTGAGATATGTAATAGATGATAATGACGCAGGGAAGGGAGAAGCAGCAATAATAAACCATCAAGAAGCAATCATATTAGAAAATTTCTATGAAGTAGAGCAAAAATTCCAACCGCTAGATAATAGCCTATAAGCTATTTTCTTGATCTTCACGCCATGCTGAATGAAGAATCCCGTCTTGGACCATCATGTAGCTCTCCTGTTCTCCTAGGTCCTCCGCTATTCCTAAAAAGACATTATACAGATTTTTCTTGATTAGTGAAACTTGGTAATCGTCTTCAAAATCCTTAAACCTTCGCATGCCATGTAACATGGCTATGATGTGATTGGGGGACCTTTCACGACCAGTGACGTTTCCCAGCCGGCCGTCGTTTGACTCCAGTGTTCTTTGAACTTTTTCATGTTGTTGAAATTGTCTCGATATCCTATCCTTTGAATTGGCCGCCGAAGAGACGTTAAGTGCTTATCTATCATTTCACGAATTTCGCTATTTTCAGCAAGAATTTTCTGCCGCTTAAGTACGTCTTCGATCTGTAGGAGCTCTCGGTGTCCAAACCTCTCAACAGCTAAAACGATATAATGTTCGATATTCGCACGGGAACTGAAAAATGCCTCGTCGTTTTCTTGGGCGAGGTAAGGGTCGGGCCAGGTGAGACGTTTGAAGTCCTCAAGCTCTCCGGTTTGGTGCATGTGTTGGATGACGGCATAACCAAGTTCGTCATATTTGAGTTTTTGTTTCAGCTTGTTGATGAACATGGTCGCGACGTCGTGTAGTAAGTTTGCGCAAAATTCAGCATCCGCCTCTTCGCGCTCTTTAGGCTTTGTGCTTTTGTGTTTTTGAGGCTCTGCGCTCTTGCGCTCTGCAGCGTCTATATGGCGAAGTATATCCATGAGCGGCTGGGCTCTCTCAGATGGCTGTTTCCTATCGATACAATATCGCAGGAACTTGTCCCTCTCCGTGGGCATGCGGTCCTGAAAGAAGTTCAAAAGCATGATGAACACAAGAAGGGCCTCGGGTGAATGGCCATCAAGACAGGTTGTGAGTTCCACCAATCCGTATCTCAACAGAAGCTGGGCCTCCAGGTGCATCTCTTGCCTGCTACACAAGGTTGCGCAAACCAAATATCCAAGTACTTTGAAAACACTAGGGGGATCATCGCATGCCCATCTTAGAAAATCATGTGTAGTCCGTTCGGAGAAGGTCCCGATAGTCCAAATGTGGTTGTCAAAAGCTCCATCCACGTATTTTCGCACAGCATTAAAAACATTTCCCTTATAATCATATAGAGAGGATGGAGTTATGTGCCGATCATTAGCGAGCTTCAAGGAATGGAGGTGGCAAGCTGGTATATCTATGTTGTGACGTCTCGCCGCCCTTCTCATTCTTGTCTCAGATGATGCATCTAAGGCCGGCATCTCATAGGCGTCTGACTTGAGATGTCTTATGGTACGCTTCTTTGTGAAATTCTTGCCTCCTCTCCAGTCTTCAGTCACCCTGCGCTGGATCCATTCTGGTCTACTACCTAGTTAGTCTTTACTATGCTGTAGGGAAGGTAAAACTCACTTGACTCTAAATCCGGATTCGTTGAGGTTTACAGCGGCCTCCTTGTACGTCTTTTTTTGGATATAGAGAAGATTTTCAATGACAGGCCGCATATTATTCCATTTATCGTTGCTGTACTCTTGATAGGGCATACTTAAAGACGCAATATGTTAGAATGCTCGAAAAATTCTTTAACGTCAATATTGGGAGCACAGCTGAATTGTCGATGAGAAGTAACCGCTTAGGCGAGATTGATGTCGAGCGGGCAGGTAGACCTAAGAGGGTATTATATAGAACAGTAAGCGCACATCATGCTTCGGAAGCAAGTCTGCTACATGGATAAGCAAGGCGTTGATGAACAGATCCTATCTCCCAATCCATTGCGGTAAGAGGACGAAGACTACCAACCACAATTTGCCATGTCTGCTGCTTGTTGGTACCTGCCATGCCTGGCCAGCAATCCAGATTCGATAATTGGCTAATCAAAACTCGACCGCATTAGTCTGAAAGGGACCCGCTAAAATTCTCGAAGTTACAGAATGCCATTGGCCGGGAGGGGATGTGAGTGTTCAGAGCCTGATATTTTGGCTGCGATCAGACTAAGGCAATGCTGTCTTCATTGGTTACAACAGGCTTGGGTGTCATCGAGCTGACCATCCATCATGCATGGCTGTCGGCCACTGCATACTGCGAGACGCATAAACGTGACAGTGCTCAAACAGTCGAACATGACAGTAATGCAGCAGGATGCTCTATATAATGGCCTTTCCTGACCGGCCGTTTCTGACTATACTGGACAGATCTTGTCTATCACGAATCTACCCAAGCGTGCTCTCACATCATCGTTGTGTAAGACCCGTTCTACATGAAAAATCGAGAAACGACTGCGAGGCTACTGTACACCTTTGCATCTCTGAACATATTGTCACTACGTAATGCGGCCTCTCTTTCTTTTCTTTCCTGCAGTCATGGCAGGCCCAGTCTTACTGGTGGCTTGCGAGAGTGGCTGTACCGCTGGCTTCATAGCATGCCTTGGGACTAGTGGCCCACCATCAATGGGAGCAAGCATTCTTCTGTGCAGCGGACTCTACGCCCAGTGCGTTGAAGCATGTGTTCCTACACTACTCATACCGATCCCGTAAGATATGCCAATGCTTTTCTCAGAGATGTATACTAATTAGTGAGCTAGTTGAAGCTCGCGAACTATGCTATGATAGGACGGGCATAGATGGGAATAACGTCAGATTGGTGGGCTGGGAAAGGGGCAACAATGTCTATGGTGCTTGATTTTATTCTGGTAGCTATTGGAATTTTTATCTTCGAAAGCAAGTGGAGAATAGCTGCTGGCAAGATGCCGGATATACTTTGCGGTCTGAATAAAATAAGTCTTATAATGCCTTGCCTCTCTACGTCAAGCAGACAATAGAGATACCACGAGCCAAGAACTGGATAAAGAAGTTCTCTGCACAGCTGTTATTTAAGGCGGGCTCAGAATACCTTAATAAGGAGATGTTCTAGTAAGTTGGAAAGGACGCCACGAAGAGCGCGGAAAATCTTATCTCATTATCATTATTATTAGAAGTGAAAGGAGAACTAGATGGCCGACAGTATGTCTCGGAAGCGTAAATTATTCCGGTTTACATTCCGCTGAGAATGTCCTGCCCTAACCTCGTGTAATTAGAGCAGACTCAGCCTAGCGAATTTAATTGGCTCTAACGTGAGACATATAGTGCTGTCATAATCAATGACCAGCAGCCGAATCCATTCTTCTCTTGCCAACCTTCTTGACCGCTCTTTAAAGCCTATTATAACTATATCTATTGCAAACTCATCCATCCCAGATCATGGCGCCATCTAATGCGTTGACTACTGACATTTGTCAATGTACGAAGGCTGAGGGGAATTATGACGTCGAAGGCGAGCTTGGCACAACGGTGATTTGCCCAAGCTGCCATCTGGAGGAAGCAACGGCTGGGGAACGTGATGAGCAAGCGGCCTTTCTTGACGATAAAAAGGTCTATTCTGCCTTTAAAGACTCCCCCTCACTGATGAGGATTGCAGCACGACCAGAGGAACAGTCTATCAAATTGGTTATAAGAAAGCGCCAGAAAGGCCAACAAGCATTTGCCAAAAATGCTAGAAAACTGGTCAAAGAATATGGCACTACACCTATTGTAGCGTCACTTAAAGGCATGCTAGATGAAGGGGTGTTTACATCTACTGATGTCGCAAAACGTCGATTTCCCGACCTCTTTCCAGAGGAGCAGGTACCAAAGTATGAAGAAGGGCAAGAGTCAGCAACTGGGCATCCGTCTACAAAAGATATGGAGCTTCCTGATGGTGAATGTAACAAATCGAATGAGGAAGCTGGCGACTCTGCAGGTAATCACTCTTTTCCCAACTTAGGTGAGCCAGCGATATGCTGATGCACTTCCTTCCTTACAGCAGGCGTATTGCCAAACAGCCGACCTGGCCAGACTCTCCGGGATTGTTGCCTTCTCCCCAGGCCACGACAGAGACTCATGTTGCAGCTACAGTTAATACTAGAGCACGCATGTTTCTCGTTTGGACAACGAGAAATGCAACAAACACTGGACAAATGGGACCATAGCTGCGCCGAGGCGATTTCGCTACAGACCTGGATAGACTTCTTCCAGAACAATAAAACATTCAAGACCGAGGGTAACGCTGAGTCACTCCCGAAACTGCTCGGCTCAGTAGGCAGGATTCAAAATGTCATCATTTATCGACTCAACCTTAACTTCGAAGAGGTTAACCAGTTTTTACTGGATGCTGAAGAGTTCATACGGCTTCTCGATACTCCATTGTATCTAGACGCTGTCAAGCCGCTTAGACAGCGTATTGAAGAAGTACTTCTTATGGCGAATCGAGATGCTGCCTCGATCCATAACGAAGCTGATGGGAAGGTTGCAGAAATTGAGGCTCAGAGAGAAAGGTTAAACCGGGAGGAGGAGGGCGTTAAACGCCATCGGGACGAGAACCTGGATAACATCCGAGATTCCATCGAGCATGACATATTTGCAGCCATGGGACAAGCTAAAGATACTTTACCAGACATCGGACTAGCAGAGAACCGTTGGAAAAATTAGTTGGGGCTGAGGAATATGATATAGAACTGAGAGACATGTGTCATGTTTATTAGAGGGGAGCCTTAGATAACAATAAAACCGGTATTAGTCAGTGATAACCAACAATCCGGTGACATGTTTACATATAAGCATTAGATCAATTGATATACTTAGATATACAAAGCAGCCCTGGTTAGAGCTGTAAGGAATTGTAGGGCACCTCGTTAACTGAGACGTGAGCTCGCTTCGGCATTCAATTGGCTTTTTAACCTTGGCCTGTCTGTTGACGCAATCTTACCCCGCATTATTCCTCAGAGTTCGGGTAAAACTATCTTCCTTATCTTCCACTACCGACTAGAGCTATAAACATTATAGGTAATAATCGATTTCCCTTCCCAACAAGTTCGCAGTATGGATCCAGTAGCAGCGGATCAACTGAACGATCAAGATGTCTATCAGGCGACAAAAGACCTATTCGTGGGTCAAAAAGCCAAATTCCGAAAGCTGGGGCTCGTACAGAAGTCCATCGAGAGCTACTCGAGACGAGATAATACACTACGACGATTCGTAGACATATACGGTGTTGAAACCATTTGCCAGGTTGTTCTTAGGCTGCTTTCTGGCGGGGTATATGAATCAATGTTGACCGCGAGCCGTCGATTCCCGGATCTATTCAACCCATCAGCCGTCCAGAGCGAGGCAAGGGACATACTCGAAGCAGAAGCTATTAGAAACGAACAGACCGCGCTTGAAGGCATAGTTCAGAGCCAATTGGCTGACAGTAAGGGAATATTTGACTGCGCTGGGGCTATGGTTGCCTTACGTGGTGAGCTGTGTTAGCCGCTAGACTCATTACCCATGGCTAATTATGGCGCCGCTAGACTCGGGAAATGACATTCCGAACGGCCAGGCCAGCAAGTCATCGTCGCTATTTCCAGTATATTTACCGTTTCCCACGGAACATCTGCTCATGGAACGACTTCAAAAGACTCTTGAACTTGCATGTTATGAGTTTGGGGCTCGGGCTATGCCGGACACACTGCGAAAGCGTTGCTGGGACTGTCCTGAGTCAGTAGAGCTCAGTAAATGGACTGAGGTCTTCAGGCGAGAAGGGGTATTGGAGCGGGGGAGTCCCCGTAAAGCTTTGAAGGAACTATTACTTTCCATTGCAAACATAAGACACACAGCTGTCCACCGCTTGCGTACAAGCTCGGTAGGGCTAGAGCAGTTTATTGCTGATGCAGAAGATCTCGTTGACGTGTTGGGAGATACAGCGTATTCGAAATCGATGTCTCAGCTCAGGGCGAATGTAAATTCGGCGATTACGGAGCTTATGCAAAATAAGCAAATTCTTCAGCTGCAACTAGAGCATACTCAAGCCGCAATAGAACAGCAACGGGCTGAACTAGATCGGAGAGAGCAAGAGGCCATTCACAATGCGAGAGAAGAGGACAGAAAGTACCAGATGTTAGCAGGGGAAAGAGTTCAGAAGGCACTAGAACATATAGGGAACTTGGGAGGAACGGATAATAGAAGGATTTCTCCACTGGAGGGTTTTGGCAGCGTTGGGGGCATGGCAGAGGATGATGACGATGACTTGGACAAATTCGAGGACTGTAATGAATGATTTAATAACAAGAGGACCTGAGCAGGTGCCTGAGAGCCTATCTTATATTCGCTAATGTCCTAGTCTTGTTGTTAAGAAGCTACGGGATAGCCCCAGATAGGTACAGCTTTCTTTGGTGTTTGGTGATCATGGTGCCAATACATAACTATGTCAAATGACAGGTTTTCTGTCCTCCGAAGAGTGTGTTGCACCCTCTCCTCGTCCAATAAGTCAGGGTGCGTATAGAAGAATTCTGTTATAGCATCGCGTAGCCCCCGATCCTCTTGCACTGTAGACGTATATGCCTCCTCAACGCTGGCAAGAAACCGATGTGTCTGCACATTTTCTCGTATTGTCTTATTGAACTTTTCCAATGCTAGCCTTTTGAGGGTAAGTATGCCATAGAGCTCGGCCAGTGCATATACCCTAACGTGGAGTATAGGATAAGAGTCATCGATGTCGTCTTGTTCCGACAATGATACTGATACTTCATGCTCGGCGTCACATGACTCAGCATCCTTTACTCTAGGACTATTGCAGCTGCTCTGATAGTCCTGTTGATAAAAGTATTGGATTAGACAATCCACAGCTTGAGGGTCATCGTCTAGGAAGTCGAAATAATATCCGGGCGAGGCTCCACAAGTATCACACAAAGTGCCCCCCTGAGTTGCGTCTTGGAATTTACATTTCTTCGCTATTACTGGGGACTGTGGACAGACAATCGCGCGATGAGCATTATACTGTCTGCCGCGGGAGACCAAGATGAGATCGGAATAACTATTATCATCGAATGAACTAGCAGTGTCGTATCAGCATTATTGTTGAGGTAAAAAGGAGGCTATAATACGAGATAGCGACATAGACTTACTCCCTTAACCACGACAAATCGATTGTAGTCATCTCATGCGTCTGGCTCTCAGGGAGGCGGTTCTCAATCGATATATCCGCCGGACTCTGCACCCCGATGGTGATCCCGGCTTCGCGGAGATTCGGAAATTCTTGTGCAGCAGCGGATGGGTAGCGAAAAACACCTTGGCCGATAAGGTAGTGCAGAATTTCGACGAGCTTATGTTCGGTAAAGTTTGCAACCACGACGGCGTGCCTTCGAACGACAAGGCGAATGGACTTTTGTCTGCTAATATACAAGTTTTCAGGTAGGCTAAAAACGTACCTACAATAGTCGTTCATATAAACGGCCTCCCTGTGACCGCTAGGATAGTCCATGATAGAAGCATCGGGTCGACAGTCGGTAGGTGCACTGTTGGTTTGAAGATAAAGATATGAAGTTGATTGGATGGGAGCCTGATTTAAGGATTAGCCGCTCAGGCATCCTTGCAGCATGTCTCACGGTCGAAAATGGCTGGCGTAATGTAAATTATCTTAGCTTCGCATGCTCGTCTATTATCAATAACATTTGCTTATATGCAGCTACGCCGTCCATAGAGAGGTTAAGTGTTTGCGCTTTGTCAATCACGGCCCTGCCATTTCCAAGTAGACCGCGCAAATATGGCGACTAATGCGCATCATCAGCCAGATGACCGAGAATGGATACAGGATCGCAAATTTGAGCCCAGCTCACGCTATCGACATGGCATAGACCTAGACTTGATCCAGGTCACCAACAATGATGAGGACTGGACATACGTGGCATGCGAAGGCGCTCTGCCTTGCAGCGACTGCGATTGCATTGCACCTCATGTCGACAGTATATTCATCGCAGTTGACGGTGCCTGCAGGGGTAACGGCCAGGCAAATGCCAGAGCTGCTGTCGGGGTATTCTTTGGGCGAGGGTCTACATACAACCAGAGCGTCCTGTTGAACCAGTCGCATGTGACGAACCAGATCGCAGAATTGAAGGCTGGCATCCTTGCACTCAAGCAAGCAAAAGACATCGTACAAGCCGATGCATTACACTATGGGCCGCTCCATACAATTCTCATCAAGTCAGACTCAGACTATCTTGTTAAGGGAATGACTGAGTGGGTATTCAAATGGGAGACCAATGGTTACAAGACTGCCAAGCGAAAACTAGTCGAAAATGCGCAACTGTTTCAGGAGTTGCACGCGCTTATTGGAGACCTGAATACATCTAATGTCGAGGTGCTGTTCTGGCGAGTGCCTCGGGAGATGAACAAGGAAGCCGACGAGTTGGCCAATCAGGCGTTCAACAGCCGTTCATAAAGGACTACTCGTCAGTCAATCGCTTTCGTCATCACGTTGAGAGTCACTTTAGTTCTCCAGTGGATGGTCGCGTATGATAATAGTATTGGTAGAGACTTCCGGGCACTACCCTGTGAGGAACAAACAGTACAAAAATAGGTCAAGTTCGCTATCCCCTCGTCTGATGAAACACTGTGCTCAGTCCATGAAATGAGCTAGGGTGTACGGGATTGGGGGCGCAACGCAGATGCAGGTCGAGGCTTAGCTGAGGTTCGTCCAGCATGAGCTTCTTGATGTGGTCTTCGTGTAAAAGGTACCGTCGCTTGCATATGAACTCAACTATGGAGTCACGCATCTCTCTCGCATTATCCGAAACAGCATCATCTGATCCATATGCTTCCCGCGCTGCTTTAACGAAGTGATCAGTCTTCTCAAAATGATGGGCTGCTGCCTCGAACTTGGCCACCGATAGAGATTTTAGAGGATGTATGCCATACTTGTCTGCCATAGCGAATATTCTGACATGGGTAATTAGGTCAGAGCCATCAAGGCTCATGACATCTTCCGTGGAGTTGCAGGCATCTTCTTTGTACATCATTCCGGTGTCGACTTTCGCGTCTCGGGCGTGGCCCGGGATTTCATAGTCCCAACGGTAGAAGTACTGTACAACGCAATCCACGGTTCGGGTATCGCGATTAGCCTCGAACGCGAAAGAGGGTGATTCGCCAAAAAATTGACCATTTGGCGCCCGGTTCTTGCCATTTCGGGTGTGGATGTTCTGGATGTACGCCGAATGATAGAAAACAATAGCGCGGTGAGCATTATAGATCTTGCTGCCCTTGGAGAGGCGGAGATCAGAATAGTTGCCAGTCTCTAAAAGCCTTGTTTGTGCGATTCAGATACATTATACTTGTCGATCAAAAAGGCTGATGTGACCTACTCACTGCACCATTTCTTCCATTCCTCTGTTTGTTCCTTTGTATCTGTGTCGTGCTTGGGAATCATCATGGAGGCATTCGTTTCCTGAAGATGATACGGGACCGTTGTAAGATATCACCCAGATTATTATTATCTTAAGCGCTCGAGTTTGGTTGATCAGGCTGATGTTCAGGCGGCGCGTATTAGACGTGTATCAAGGCGCGGGGCTTGCTTGGCTCAAGGGCTTAGGCACCAAGGCCACCATGCATGATACGTGCAGCATGATGTCTCGCAACCCCCGCACCGTTGAGACAGCCAACGTAGAGATTACGATCTATCCAACTACCTTGCGGTCGAAAAGAACACTCCTTCTTAGTCCCAGCTGGTAGATAACACACATCTCTAGGTCTACTATATGCTAGAGGAACGTCTTATTCTAACGAACTCACACCATGACCGTATCATCGTGCGACAGGCCCGTGCTCTACTGCGGCTGCACTACAAGAGAACCAAACATTGACAGTATCTCCGCCAATCCGACATGCAACTCGTGCCAGGAACGGTTACCTGACGACAAGGCCATTTATATGGTACTAAAAAATCACGTTAGTGGTCTATCTTACTTGGTCGGCAGGGGAAGTAAGAGTAAGAGGTATCAACGTAAGATGAAGGGCCGTAGCGGAAACATCATGGATGGCATCGAAAGCGATCCGTATCCAGAAGATGTACAGAAGCTGCACGATAAGTATGGTTTCGAGGTGGTTCGTTCTTCAGCCAGGGTTCTCGTGAACAGCAGTCCGTTGACGATGCGTTCTGAGTATTCTTCTTACGACTGGTATGGTCTCGCAACACCTTCTGTAGAAGTTGATAGCGAGGTGCCCGCTGAGGCTACCTGGGTGCCAGAACCGACGCCAGCATCGGAAAGGGCGCCATCACCATATGACTGTACCCCGGAAGTGGATGTCGGCCCGGAAGACAACCGACCAACAGAATCTGATGGCTATGCAGAGCCCAAGGCTATTATAGGAGAGAAATACGTGGATGCTCCAGATGAAGTGCAGGAGAAGCCTTGCGATGACGATTTGTCTCTGCCTCATGATGGCGATGGGTACGACAAGGATAAGGCGCAGGAGGGCGCTACCAAGCCTGGAGACTCGAAAGGGGACAGGGACATCCACCATGAGCAGGAGTCTCCTGACAAAGTGGATAGTTACGCGCCCTATCGTAATCGATACGAAGACAAAAAGGGGCTGGTGAGCGTACAGCTGGGTATCCAGTACGAGCTCATGGTACAGCTACAGAGATACATCGAAAGAGCCTGTTATGCATTTGGAAGTGGAGAAATCCCAGAGACTCTGACACAAAACGGATGGGACTGCGATGAAGCAGTAACGCTGGATCGTTGGATGAGAGAGTTCCTCGCTCGACCTGAAATCTTTGACGTGGGAGGCAGCGTTGAGAGTCTACCGTCATTATTTCAGAGGCTGCGTGAGATTCAAGCAGTCAATCTCAGTCGCAAACGCCTGACTTCTGACGAGATACACGAGTTTCTCAGTGACGCATGCGCACTTATGGATGTGCTGAATGTCAGTGGCTATAAGGAGATCCTTAAGAAGCTCGAATTGAGGGTTGGGAAGCTGTTAGTTGATTTCGCCGTCAGGTACGAATCATTTCGGCAGAGACGAGATGAAAAGTTGAAGCAAGTAAAAAGCGAGCGGGCGAGGCTGGACATGCTAGAGAGGACGATTCTCGCAGAAATGGAAGATGACATGGAAGGAAATCAGAGTATAGTCAAGCGGGAGATTCGAATTGCATTAGACAAAACGGCGGCGAAATTTGAAACAGATATAGAGTGGGAGGAAGATAGAGGAGAGTGAGTCGGGGTAACGCGGACGTCCGTGATCGCAAGTTAGCAATTTCGGGTCTGTGAGTTGGCGTGGTGGTCGCGCGAAAGGTTTCAGGTAAAAGCTGAAAGCATAAGCAGAATCATACCGTTATTTCTATCTTGCTTTACTCCAGTGACGAAATCTAAATGAAGTTTTCTCCAGGTCTATGAAGTTTCGGGGCTTTAAGATTTCGCGTCGTACACATTATCCATCAATTGTATTTGAGGTTTTAACGTGGACAATAGGGTAAGCGACAATCGCACGGCTTTGGGTTATTAAAGTTTCGGCGGGGTTGCAGTGATTACAGGGGCAATAGGAGGAAGTTGGGGCCGGAATGGGCGCTGTAGACAGGGGTCATCAGGGGTCATAAAACCAGAGGATCCCCCGTAATCTAGGGCCAGCGATTTCTCCACTTTCAACCACATATGCCGACACTTTCAATGATATGGCGGATATGGCCCGCGACGACGAGCGACGACGAGCGACGGCGACGCGCGGCTAGCGACAAGTCGAATACGCACGAAGCAGCCAATTAGGAGATGAATAGGGCGATAAAAAATGATGGAAAGGAAGAAATCGACAAAAGTAGCGATGAAAGCATCAACGAATCATAAGGATGATGGCCTAAGTGACTCGGAGGCGGTCCTATCTCAACGACGACGCGATACGGTGGGCTACGCGATCAGATACGTCAACCTGATAAGGGATTAGTGTCTAGTATGGAGAGTCATTGATCCAGAGCATGCTGAGTCGGTCATTCTCATCGTCATCATCATCATCATTTCCTAACTGCTCATCATCCGGAGTCTTGGCCAGTGGGATTCCCAACAGCAAGGGTCAAGGATACCGTCACAACGTGCGCACTTGGCTGGGCTCTGGTCGCGGCTTCTATCCAACGCCAGAGAGTACTGTGGCTACTAGAAGGGCAGGCTGCCAGTTGTGTGTGGTTGGATATAGGTGCAAGGCGTACGTCTGCGTGCCACCTTGACAGAGAGCTTCGGCCTTTAGTCTTGGTTGGCCTGGGAAGTATTGGTGGCAAGAAACAGGGGGAGGGGGTTTGACGGGTAACGCTAATCCTAACGCAAAACGTTAAATTTTCGTTTGAGCTGGGAAGTCGAGAGGGTTGCGGTTGCTGAAGAGGGTTAGGCAAGGGACAGAGGCGTAACGCTAAGCCTGAGCCAAAACCCTAGGGTTTTGTTTGACCTGGAAGGTTGAGAGGGTTACTCATGGATATGGGGGTAAAGGTTAGCCAAAAAATTCGTGAGTTCAGGGTACACTTTTCTCAGAATACGATAATATCTTATACCCATAACCTCAAGTAGACCATTTAAAGCTAGTTAAAGGTTTCCCGGACTTAATAGCTATTTTCTGGAATTACTTATGGAGTTTTACAATGTAATGATGGAAATGATGTTGATGGTCGTGATGCTCCACCTAGAAGTCTTGGCTCACATTTAATTCAATTGGGTTTAGCGCGGGATCGGCCTGGGAGTCTTGGCTCACATTTAATTCAATTGGGTTTAGCGCGGAAAGTCAACCACTGGAATCTGCCTTTTAATCTTGGATGACGTCTAGATAGCTTTACCAACATGATTCATGATGCAACGAGTATAACAATTCAGCATACCAGCTCCACGACATATTAATATATATAATCAGTATACCGTGTAATAAATGCATGATCATAATACTGCTCACGAGAGACGCGCACTGTAAACCTTTTCCTCACAATAGCATCGTCACATATGCAGTAGACTCGAAAACCAGTTGACTACTGACAAATGTCTTGTTCCCAATTCTCCCTTTTTTATCTACCAGGCCTCTGAGCAGATTGATATTGCAAGAAACTCTTTTTTTTTAATTTCTTGGCCTATGCGGACCAGTTTACACTGTAACTGCCGAAAAAGAAAAAAAGAAAATAATAATAATAATAAGGTTTAATTGCCATGCAGGGGACGGCAAGCAACAATTGCGTCGCGTCACTGAAACGCGTGAAAGCCTACCATGATGCTAATAAGGTGACGAGAACAACCACTTCGGCCAGGTTGTATATGAAAGACGATGTCTCAAGCCGCGCCAAAGCGTCGAGGCCGCCCCGCGAGGAAAGTCCCACAAACGGAAGAAGAACGGCTCGCCTCGCAACGCGCGCGATCGCAAAGGTACTACCGACGACAGCACGAGCAGTCCGTTGACTCCCACCGCGTTGCCGTTGGATCGCAGAATGCGGAGTTTGTGTATCACTACCAACCCCATCCGCCTGCCTTACCATCGACTACGAACCCCGTTGTCGGCCTCCACTTGGAGCCGCATCTTCACATACCAACACCTTTAGAGCAAGATGTAGTAGCCGAGCCCACTTGTACCGACGCGCCGGGTGAGGCGGACACGGACCCAACAGCGGCACCAACGTCGTGGAATCCACCGGTCTGGAACCATCACGAAAATTCACGGGTCGCACGGTCGAGTTTAGATGATAATACATCCGAAGATGACTACAATCCATTATTCGAGGACTCTCAGATACAACTCGAGCTTGTCTCACAAGGACAAGACAATACAGGAGATGGCTACGATGCGGTCATTGATAGGGGCGAAGCCGATTCTCCGCAGCTCGAGGCTCGAGATGAAGAACTGCAGGATCTAGTTGATAAGGTCCAGCAGTTGCTCATCACGACGTCGTTAGACAGAGAGGCAACAAGGAGGGATAGTGGTAATGGCCTGGCAGAAAGTTTGTGAATCTATAGTTCAAGCGTGGCTCTGTCTTGATATAGAGGTACTGACGCGGCTTACCAGATACCATCGAATCACCAGTAACTTCCGGCTCAGCGTTTTTGCAAGACGATGCGAGATCTTCGACTCCACAATCTCAAGGCTCTGCTCGGTTATCACGTAGATCTGATGAAGCCCAGGGACGAAGCCATGCGACATCATCATCTGCAACGCCGTCATCACAGTTACGAAAGGCAAGCTTGTTGGATAATTGGGTGCGGCGGCCTTGTACTCGCTCACCAGACGGCTCTTCCAGTGGAGTAAGCTCACAAGCGTACGACTGCGACGGATTCCTTCTACCATCGGCCACGGGTGTGCAAAGGTTCAGGCGGGAACACTCGGGCTTTGTCGATCGCTCTAGTGCTGTATCGCCATCATCCTCAACGCCCAGAGGATTTGGAGTAGAATGGATCTATCACGGGCTCTACTCGTGGAACCTCCGTCGTCGGCTGGAACGGGAAGACTACCTTACCACTGATGACGTTCTCTGCGGCATGCGGCTGGCTATTGAGCTGAGCGGCTGTCAGGACGTCACGACGCTCGCACGCACCATCCATCTTGGTGAGCCTCAGAACAACTCTATCCAGCTGAGCCAGGCTGAGATCGAAGATATAAGACGGCATGACGCCACAATACTGTCGATCTTTCGTCCAGGTATCGAGAATGGGGTCGGTCACTGGTCACTTGCCATCTATCAGCCAGCACGGCCGCATTTCTTCTTCTGCGATTCACTTGGAAGTCGTGATGACTGCTACCATTCTGCGCTTCGAGACATCCACGGCTCGGTACTTCCAGACTCTGCGCCCGCATCCATTTGCGATGTGCCAATCACTCGACAAGTAAATGGCTGGACATGCGGTATCATAGTCGTGGAATGTGTCCGACGATTTCTGGCCGCACGAGAGCAGTATTATAGCGAGGATTTAATGATAGAAGACCAGCCCGGGATACTCGACTGGACACAGCAGGAGCCGTATTTGTCTGAGATACAAGACCCAGACTTGCGAGAGATTGGTGCTATATCGTACTGGATCGAGGTGATATCGCAATATTTAGGCGCAACATCAAATCACAGTGCCACCTCCGTCGGCAGCAGAAGGAGTAGTAGTAATGATGCAGATACCATCCCAGAGCCGGCTGACCCTGCGCTGCTCCTCTTCCAAGAGTGGAGCAGACCGGTAGGATGTACGTCCCGGCAACATGAAGAGGACCACTCCTCCCAGCTGGCGGATGCAACCACAAAGCGAGGCGTCTCCCCAAACTGTTCTTCTCTGTTGGATATTGCAAAGAGGTTAGAGGGTGTGACTGGGGAGGATGGCACAAATGATAATGGGCCATTACCTTACGTCCTAGACCCGGCAAAGGATCTCATGAGGCCCGGCATGCGGGAGTCCTCATCGGACGCTGGCCCAACACGCTATAGCGGACCCTGCAAAGCCGCCATGGAAGGCTTGGTAGAGGGTGAACAAGATCCGCCCTATCTCTGCATGCATTCCAACCACTGCGCTCGACGACTAGAGGATGACTGTATATCATCGTCCTACGACATTGATAGCCTTTGCAGCTTTCCCACCTCCCTTGGCGTGGCCCGGATGGGGATTCAATGGTACACTCAGTCACATGTCACGCTCAACCTGGTTGACAATGTCCATCTGAGCATGGAGATCCCGGGCACGCGTGAGCAAGATGGTACAGTGACGATCCAGCCTCTCCACAATGTCCCCAACTACTGCCTCGGACGTGTCATTGGCCTTGCGGATACTTTCATCTGGGCCTTCTTCCCTGCACTCTTCTCGGGCAAGCTCTCCGATCCGTATAGCCAAACCTGTATTCCCAGGAAGAACTTTGTGCACTGGTATGAGGAAGTGATGCTGCCCGCCATACAAGCTGTTATCGATGACAACAACATACTTCAGTACATCCCAAAGACACATGCCATCGCGTCTTCGGACTGCAGTGCGCCCCGGGAAGCGTTAGCAGCTCTGGAGGTGGCGGAGGGAGAGGAGGCCGATATGGAAGAAGAACTGGGTGGATTTAACGGAGCGAAAAGACGAGACGGTGCAGCCGCACTGCCGGGGTCACGACGCAAGCACTTCTACGTCACGCTTCAGCCCCGCTACCTCGCAGCTTTATGGGAGGAGATATATTCCAGAGCTTCTCCCTGGCCGGAATATGCAGGACTGCGACTCTACATGGCTGCTAAGAACACTAAATTGACGTGGATGCGGCCCACGTTCGAGTCGGCACTTGCGGAGTGGCAACACCACTGGAAATCTGCGGTTGACGAGTCGTACATTGATCCGGAAGTCACCTACATTGACATTGGCCGACAGATGACGCCGGCCGATACAGGACCACATGGACGCGTGCTTCTTTGGCGCCGTTGCTGCATGGACAGGCTCTGGCGTCGTCGGCTACAGTGGAGCCGGATCCAAAATCGGCTGTATCACCGTGAGGAAGACGCTTGCAAGGACGACTCAGGCAAACGCCAGGCTCCACCAATTCGCAGGACGACCTATCCATTTGTCACTCTCCGCGATGCGAGAGATATGACCATCACTCCTAGCTCATCAAGCTGGGAACTTCGAAATGGTCTTGTGTATAGCCAGTTCTACAACCTCATCAAAGTTCCCTTTGACGCAGCTAAGCAGTACCCATTCCAGAACCGCCATACCGAGAGCATGGCGCTAGATCCATCGTACCTCAGAGACCAACGTAACTCCACACGAGGGGCACATGCGCACCAGTCCCGAGTACAATGTGCCTACCGTCTGAGCAAGCTCCGTATTCATCGCAACGTTCCCGCTATCGACCAGGATGATGATGATGATGAGATGCAACATGAGGGATCAGCACATCATCCTTTCACATATGGTATACGTGCAGAGGATAGGGATATCACTGGCCCTTCTACGGCGCATCACTGAGTTGTTCTCATCTAGCCCCTCGCAAGATAGGTCTAGCGATGGTGAAGATGAAGAGAGGGACCATCCATTCTTCTCCGTTTCTTCTCAAACGATGGCCCGTTTTCTCCGTGCTAGCGTCAATCGATATTGTTTTCTCTTCGAGTATATAAAGTCGCAGACCGGCTTGAAATATTCACTTCCCGAGACTGTTGTCATGGCAGCAGCGCTTCGTGGACTTCGGTTCAGCTACGATTGCTCCCTCATCGCGAAAGAATCGGTACTCTGGGGAGATAGATGGATGTCGACGCAGCGCGTAAGGGTTGAGGGTGGAGAGGCGCGGATCGTCAAGGCAGAGCGAGAAGGGCTAGGCCTGAACAAGACGTCTACGTCGCACGGCTTTGGCTGGTGGCTACCAGGGAAGTTTGACTGGAGTACCTGGCGGTTCACTTCCGATGTTGGCGATCGACTCGCCGTGGGCAACGACCTCCTACGCCAGGATTACAAGCGTCAATGGAGAGTCCTCAAGGATATTCGAGACGTTCACGTTCGCATGTGGCAAGCCCAGAGTTGGTTAGGGCGATATCGAGTGCAGGACGACGCGGCGGCGAAGAGACTGTGGCTTGAATACTTGCACTCTACAGTCATCGAGCTCTTTCAGCGGGATGTCTGGCGTGTAGCCTTGAGGAGCGTGAGCTGGAAGACAGGCTCCGATGTCACCGATGAGGCATCGATGAGGTATCCCGAGTCTAGCCCACCGAGCTTCTGCTATGATACGTTATCGGATCTGTTTCACGACCGTCAACATGATACGAGCCACACGAGACCACACCTCGTCGCTGGCAATAAGATACGTTCGACCAGTATGAAGGACCTTTTCGATGACCTGTTCTCACCGAGCTCTACCGGCACGACCATGAAGCGTCGTAGAGGGTGGGCTTCGCTGCCCTATCGTATCGCGACTCGTCGAAGCATCGAGCTCGTGGAGATGGTGCTTGGGGCGGCGGCCGCAACACAGTGGTACGCACAGCTTAGGCGAATTGTGCTATTGACACATTGGATTCTGCCCTGGCCGTCAGACACAGAGCTTCTAACGACGACAAAAGAAAGTAGGGCTACCAATCTCAAACGCCGGCTTACTTGGGCCTCGGTTGTCCACATCACTCCATCTTCCAAGTCTACAGGGCACGTTGAGCCTGCTGTACCGACGCGAAAGGTCAACGACGCAGACCGTCAGGTCTCCACTCAAGACGATCTATCGCAACTACTGTCAGAAGTATGCAGGCGTCGGTTCGGGGATAAAGGCTGGGCAAGTAGTGCAGACAATGCAAAACCGTGCTACCACTGGTCTACAGGAGACTTGATCAGCATCACGCGCAACTGTATTGGAATTGATACGCTTCGACTTGGCCGTGCTGTTGGGGCATATAATAGAGGTTGTATCTTTCCCGTAGTAGAGAACGGCCATCCGCCCCAATTACGGATGGTCACGCGTATTCGAGATAAAACCCTAGACGAGCTCAGCCAAGTTTTCAGCGAGCTACTGGAGGTTAGCAACGTTCATCCTAGCTCTCCAGGGGGAAGCATCACACCCGAAATTGGACAGTCTCGCGTATCATTTTCGCGTTCCGCGACATGGCAAGCTGAGCAAGAAGCTCCAAGAGTTCCAGCAGCACAGTCACGAGGATTCCGTTATCTACAACTGCTAGCTAGGAAACGTCCACGAACAGCGGAGGAGCGGGAAAGACTCCGGAGACATTTCCGACGACGTAACTATATACGAGCTGGTAAGGTTGTCGTCGGTACGGATTCGATCCATTCCGACGATACGGGTTCGAGCGCGCAGACAGAAGAGACGGACCAGTCGTGGAGACCACAGAAACGTTTGAGAAAGGCAGTCAGAGACCAGATGATAGTCAGGCTAGAGTAATGTAGCAATCAGTGAATATCAGTCAAAGCGAACAGAGGGCTTCTCCATGATGGATAGCGCAGTAGGTACCTTCCATCCTTATGGCGAAGATAACACTAGTTTGAGCTGCACTGTCGAACTAGACGGGGGTGAGCGGCATGAATGTATGCAGAGCGTACATGATGGGGTGAGAACTATGGGTGCAGTACGATGTATTTTCTTGCGTAATTTTAAGGCTACCTTTGTAGCGCACACGTGCATAAAGTTATGATCGCAGCTGCCGACGGATAGAAAAAAAGCAAGTCGTTAGGTCCCAAAATCCGGACAAGGTTTATTGTTCAGGTGGAATAAGTGGCCAAGGCTTGATAGGAAATTACGCAACTTTGGCCGGCATTATACCTGGACCTATTTTTAAGACCGATATCATACTCGACTCAGAAATTCTATAATGCGCACTAGTTAAAGAAAAGAAATCTACATAATACTAAATACTAGATGGCCTCAGTCAAAAGGATGCTTTACGGCAGTTGCAGTATAAAATACGCAGCGACTTGGAATGGGTGTATGGTATAGGGTAGTTAGCTGGTGTCGAAAAATGAGGCAGCATGGACCTTCATGATGAGACTTGGAAAAAACTACATCGCGACTCTAGCATTATCATCGCGACTCTAATATGTATTTTTTAACGTAAGATGCAGTAATCCTTAGGTAGGTATGCTAAACAGTACAAGCCGAAAACATACTTCAGTACATTTCCCCACGGTATTTCATGCCACGACGAGTTCCTTCTTCTTCAAGCCGACTCAGCAATCTCTTTTTTGCGCCGGGACTGGATGCATCTTCCTTCAAGATAAAAGGCACAGCGATTTCCTCAATGAGGTTACAAAACCTATGAATATCGTCCGTTTTAATGTCCCGTTTTGAACGACAGACGAAAATAATGCTTCCCTGGTGAAGGTGACGTCGGTAATCAGGCGAGTGAACCCATTCTCCACCTTTGACAGAAGTTGTCATC